ATGCTGAGGGATGGAGGTACAGGCTGGATGCTTCCTGAACTTTTTACCTCCCCCCCAAATGGAGCCGCCCAAGTGGTTCCAGGTCCTCCAAATCCATTTTTATAATCTGACTGGTGAACCAAGAGAGAGCCCCAGTTTTAGGGTCAAAGACTGAGACGCATAAACCTCGTGTGGCACGTGACCATGACACCACGTTTGTGGTGGGGGGTGCTTTGACGGCTTCTCTTTCCAATACTTAGCACTGGGCTTCAGGTCCAGGGACAGCCCCTCAAAGACAATCCTGCTGCATCCTGCACTGGGGCAGAGAGGAGGGTGCAGCTCCTTGCTACGCACAAAGACGTGCCAGGCAGACCGCAGGTGAGCCTGCTCCCTCCTTCCCATCAAAAGTAGGTTTAGCCAATGTCTCATGATTCAGACAAAGAAAAGGAAAACAAAAGAAGAAATGCAACCCATTTTCTCTCCCAAATTACAAAAAATATATAAGCCTTTCGGAAAATAAAGCTTTTTTACAAGAAAGGAAACTGGTAGGTGTGGTGGAGAGTGGCTCACAAAAACTTACAGGGTCTCCATCCTCTCCCCCGTGTCCTCTGCTGCCTTTCAGACCCGGAAAACCCTGGGAGGAAAGAGAGAAAAGTAAATCTGAGTCATTTTCCATCAATTCCTACTTGTAAAACGATTAGGCACTCCGGGCAAGTCCCTCCCTCCAAGCGGTTGTGGGTTTTTGCAGGTGTGGCTGTGAGTCTGGGAAGAGTCGGATGACCTCTGGGGCTGCCTTTGGTCCTTGCTGTCAGCCCTCTGCCAAGGTGGCCCTCCCAGTGCCTACAGGAGGTTAACCTTGGAACCATCTTATAGATCGGGATTCGGGGCCAGCCCTGTGCCTGGGGGTTCGCCTGGAGGGCATCAGGGGCCACCACAACTCTTTCAGCAGGCAAGTGGATGACATTTCCAAAAAGAGATCATTTTATTGTCTTCTGCTTTTCTGAGAGTTCAGAAAAGAATAACCCTTCTCCCAACGACGAGGTTCCGTATATTTAAATTGCAGTCGTCTCCCCCTCTGTGGCTTCACTGCCTCATGGTCGATCTGGGGCAAGGACTTCACTGGAGGCTTGCTCTCCCCACCCTCCAACACAGGCGCTCGCTGCCCACTCTGCACCCCAAGGGGCTGCACTCCTGGGATAGAATTCCAACACCAAGCCGTGTAATGAGACAGGGAACTGCGCTAAACAAAGCATCGTAACCCAGTACAGTCCAAGATCAACTATCCATTCACAAGGACGTACCATGCAGGACTCGGGTGCAAGGATGGTGTTTGAGCTCTTCAAATAAAACAAACCTGCCTCCTTTTAGTTGTGATAGCTAAGACCCATTTGAAAGAAGCCCACAAAAGTAAATAAAATATAAAGGGACAGCTTAATTATTATTACGTGGACACCTGTGTAGCCACTGCCCCAGCCAGGAGGTAGGACATCACTGGTACCACAAACCACTCCCGTTTCCCCCACCCCACTGGGAACATGCCCTCGCTTTGATGATACTACTTCCTGGCCTTTTTATTTAAAAACAAACAAACAAACAAAAAAAACTTCACGACTTAATTACGCATCCCTAGATGCTATAGGTTAGTTCTGCCTGTTTTCAAACTTTTATAAATGGAATCATACCGTATGTATTCTTCTGTGTTTTGCTTTTGTAGGGTACTATTATAGGGTTTGTAAAATGTATTTCTGTTGTCATGTGTGGCCATAGTTCATTCATTTTCATTACCTTAGGGCATTCCATTGAATTAAAATAACCATGATAGATTTATCTGTGCTATGGTTGTGTAAATGATCTTTCACAATTCGTTCTCTTAAAGGGCTATCAATCTGCAATGCTATGTTCTTTTTGCAGTTTGATCACGTTCCACTGCTGATGAAGTATAAATTGTCCCCCTATTTCTGACACCTCTTGTCACCTTTCAGGCTGTCTACAGTGGAGCAAATTTACCAA